TTCCGGCCCTCACAGATTCCTACAGCATCTGGAGGGAGCAGGGCCTACTGACAGATATTTGGCTGGAGAAAACTCTGCGCAGAGGTTACACGCTGCAATTTTTCCGAAAGCCACCACCATTCCGAGGCGTACGGGCAGTACGCTCTCAGGTACGGGGATCAATAGAGGCACTGCAAGCGGAGGTCTCCTCTCTGCTGAGTCGAGGCGCAGCAGTGGAGGTAGACCCGCAGGACGCCACCAGGGGGCTGTACTCCCCTTACTTCTTAGTGCCAAAGAAATCAGGCGGGGTGCGTCCCATTCTGGATCTGCGCGGGTTAAACGAGTGCTTTTCCAAACGGAAGTTTCGGATGCTGCCCACAAAGCAGCTACTCGAGTGTGTCAGGGAGGGAGACTGGATGTCCTCCATAGACCTGACAGATGCTTACTTCCACGTGCCCATAGTGCCAGAACACAGGAGGTTTCTGCGCTTCGCAGTGGGAGAGAGGAATTACGAGTACTTATGCACTCGCGCCTCGGATTTTTCCAATGCGTGGAAAAGTCCTCAGACGCGCTGGGGTAAGAATTTTAACCTACTTAGACGACTGGTTAATTCTGGCATCATTCAGGGAAGTGTCACACGCACTGGGTCCTGTCCCACATACAGCGCCTGGGCTCTGTGGACCGATAGGCCTTTTGCGGAACGGGCTACCTGCAAAACTTTATCCCGACGTCGGCCACCAGGAGGCGTTCGCGGTGCCCCGAGTCGACAAAAATGCAGAATGGGCTACTGTCGTGTTGGGCTACTTTTAAAGTAGCCCGTTACTTTGGGCTACTTTTTTGCATTTTTGGGCTACTTTGTATACGGTTTTTGTGGCTACTTTTAAGTATCCCATTATGCAGTATTAACTCAGGCTACTTTTACTGCATTTTGGGCAACTTCGTATGCATTTTTGGGCTACTTAAAAGTATCCCATTATGCAGTATTAACTCAGGCTACTTTTACTGCATTTTGGGCAACTTCGTATGCATTTTTGGGCTACTTTTAAGTAGCCCAATATGCAGTATTAACTCAGGCTACTTTTACTGCATTTTGGGCAACTTCGTATGCGTTTTTGGGCTACTTTTAAGTATCCCATTATGCAGTATTAACTCAGGCTACTTTTACTGCATTTTGGGCAACTTCGTATGCATTTTTGGGCTACTTTTAAGTAGCCCAATATGCAGTATTAACTCAGGCTACTTTTACTGCATTTTGGGCAACTTCGTATGCATTTTTGGGCTCTTTTTAAGTATCCCATTATGCAGTATTAACTCAGGCTACTTTTACTGCGTTTTGGGCAACTTCGTATGCATTTTTGGGCTACTTTTAAGTATCCCATTATTAGTAGTATTAACTTGGGCAACTTTTACTGCATATATATATATATATACATTATATATATATATATATACATTATATATATATATATATACATTATATATATATAAAGGTGTGGCTACTTTTAAGTAGCCCATTGTTCCGTATTATATATAAAAATATATATATATATATATATATATATATATATACAATGTATATATATATATATATATATATATATATATATATGCAGTAAAAGTAGCCTGAGTTAATATAGTATAGTAATTATATATATATATATATATATATATATACATACATTATATATACATTATATATATATATATAGACAGAAGACAGAAGTAAGTGTGAAAGTTTGCATTACTAGGTACCATTAGAATTGTATTTCTGTGACTTGCCCTTTGTTTGTGTTCACTATGTATATTTTCGAGTTGTTTGTAATACTATATTGATGTAATTAGTCTGTAAATAGTTATACTATAGTTTATATTATCTGCTAATATGGCCTTCTGTACTAATATCCCTTTCCTCGTCACCTGTTCCACCATATTAGTATTCTTCTCCGTTCTCTATAGTTTAGTTCGCTAAGTTACTTTCACTTCGGCCTGTCTCTGCCCTTATAGCGCGAGTGTAACCTGACACCTCAGCGCGACTGCAGAGCATGCGGCCGCCTCTAGTGTGTTGGCGTAGCGCGACCACTAGAGGGAGCCACAAGATCGCTAATTACTGTCAGATCCCCCACCTCGTTTCTGTGTTCCTGTTAATGCCCTGAATATGTGTAAATAGTTATTTTATTCTTTTAGATTTGTTTTTTGTTATAATTATATTATTTTATTATATAGGTAAATAGTGTAAATATTTGTTCCAACTTTATGTAAATTCTAAGGTTCGTTTGTACTTGTTCTTGTTCCAGACCACACGCTGACCACACACTAACTCACCCCACCCATAATCCACCCATACAGGGTCCATTCCCACCTGTAACTGCCTCCATATCCACAATAAAGTTACCCATCTGGATGTACCACACTGTAAACCCCTTATTTTTTCAGCTTATTTGTATTTAGTAATAATTACTAAAAATAACTAGTTTTAACAAATCTCCATGGAGAACTAAAGAAGCTGTGCTGTATTTACATGTAAATCCCAGTCCTGACTGCACTCAGAGCTCTGTGCTCTCACAGCAGAACATGTTAGGTTCTTACAGGTGAGGGGGCGGGGCTTACGTGTGGGGGGCGGGGCTTTACCACTGTTCAAATCGCAACCGCCACAGTCTACAGGCTCCAGTACAACCAACTGTCTCCTCCTGTGTTAAGTCCAATAACACATTTTTCACTGCATATTATTCACTAATCCAAGCTACTGAGCAACTAGAGGTTCTACCAATCCCAGTATTTTAACTTTGCAATGAAAGTTTGCTTCAAAGTACAACCAGCTTCTGTTAGCCGGTTAGCTACGTTAGCTTGTACAGCTGATTTCATTTTACTGAACATGTGTTTCTTATGTGTTTGTTTGGACAGGTGTCTCTCGTCTGTATATGAACAGTGCTGGTCTCTTCTCTCTCCTGTTTATGGTTTCAAATATCTGTATTTCAATAAAATATCCAATCCCAGTATTTTAACTTTGCAATGAAAGTTTGCTTCAAAGTACAACCAGCTTCTGTTAGCCGGTTAGCTACGTTAGCTTGTACAGCTGATTTCATTTTACTGAACATGTGTTTCTTATGTGTTTGTTTGGACAGGTGTCTCTCGTCTGTATATGAACAGTGCTGGTCTCTTCTCTCTCCTGTTTATGGTTTCAAATATCTGTATTTCAATAAAATATCCAATCCCAGTATTTTAACTTTGCAATGAAAGTTTGCTTCAAAGTACAACCAGCTTCTGTTAGCCGGTTAGCTACGTTAGCTTGTACAGCTGATTTCATTTTACTGAACATGTGTTTCTTATGTGTTTGTTTGGACAGGTGTCTCTCGTCTGTATATGAACAGTGCTGGTCTCTTCTCTCTCCTGTTTATGGTTTCAAATATCTGTATTTCAATAAAATATCCAATCCCAGTATTTTAACTTTGCAATGAAAGTTTGCTTCAAAGTACAACCAGCTTCTGTTAGCCGGTTAGCTACGTTAGCTTGTACAGCTGATTTCATTTTACTGAACATGTGTTTCTTATGTGTTTGTTTGGACAGGTGTCTCTCGTCTGTATATGAACAGTGCTGGTCTCTTCTCTCTCCTGTTTATGGTTTCAAATATCTGTATTTCAATAAAATATCCAATCCCAGTATTTTAACTTTGCAATGAAAATTGGCTTCAAAGTACAACCAGCTTCTGTTAGCCGGTTAGCTACGTTAGCTTGTACAGCTGATTTCATTTTACTGAACATGTGTTTCTTATGTGTTTGTTTGGACAGGTGTCTCTCGTCTGTATATGAACAGTGCTGGTCTCTTATATATATATATATATACATTATATATATATATACATTATATATATATATATATATATATATATATATACATTATATATATATATATATATAATGTATATATAGATATACAATGTATATCTATATATACATTATATATATATTAAGGTGTGGCTACTTTTAAGTATCCCATTATGCAGTATTAACTCAGGCTACTTTTACTGCATTTTGAGAAACTTTGTATTCATTTTGGGGCTACTTTTAAGTAGCCCATTATTAGTAGTATTAACTTGGGCAACTTTTACTGCATTTTGAGAAACTTTGTATTCATTTTGGGGCTACTTTTAAGTAGCCCATTATGCAGTATTAACTCAGGCTACTTTTACTGCATATATATATATATATATTATATATATATATATATATATATATACATTATATATATATATATATATATATATATATTATTATATATATATTAAGGTGTGGCTACTTTTAAGTAGCCCATAGTTCCGTATTAACCTGGCCTACTCTTTCTGCATTTTGGGCAACTTTGTATGCATTTTGGCCTACTTTTAAGTAGCCCCTGGCCCACAGCTAATTCCAAAGTCAATGTTAGCAAATGAAGAGCAATAGCATTCTAAAAGTGACATTTATTTAAAATAATCAAATACAAAGTAACGAACCAAAAAACATAAATAAAACAAACACATCTCTAAAAATAAATAATGGAATGTGTGCGTGTTTCTAGCCATCACCGTCACGTCACGGACTGTTTTCACTGAAGGAAAAAATTGAATTAGAGAAAGGAAAGAACAATGCGTGACACAATTGTGAACCTTTACCCAGGAGCAAGGGGATGCAGCTGAGCAGGACCTCTTTGGACTCCTGCTTCTGGACTTTTTATGGCCCTCAGGACTGCTGGGTAGCTGTAGATGAATCATTCCCAATAAACAAGAGACTTATTTACTAACAAAAATCTGTTCCAACTCACGCTCTTAGATGGTCCATGTTTCTCCGAAGTTCTCCATGTTCATTGGGCCGGAAGAAGAGTTTCCCCACATTAGTCCGCTGCAAGGGCAAGTAATGACTAATCAATCTCCGATCAGCCTTTAAAGAATACCCCAAGGCGCAGAAAAAGTAGCCCCTAATGTGATTGCAATAGGGGCTACATTTTCTGCTTTTTGGAGCACATTGTTCCCAGTGTGCAGTAAGCATACCTCAAGGTGCAAAGGCAGTAGAGAGGAAGCAGGTGAAGCAGTCCTCCTCTTCACACTCGGTGTGGTCTGGGTGGAGGGCGACCACTTGCTCCTCTGGGTGGAGGGCGACCGCAGGGTGCAGGGCGACCCCTGGGTGGAGGGCGACCACTTGCTCCTCTGGGTGGAGGGCGATCGCTGGGTGGAGGGCGACCGCTGGCTCCTTGTCAGTGCTCTATGGTGGGGACAGGTAAATACAGGGCATGTGAGTATAAGTGGTAATAGTTGTTTATTCTGGTATAAAGCAGAACTCACAAAGAGTGCAGATGGGCACTGGGAGTAAATCACAGCGTTTTCAAAGAAAAGCATTATTTTCTCTTTGTACCTACCTTTTCGCAATGAGGTAGGCACAAAGAGAAAAGAATAAATATCATATACTTTACCTCCAACTCCCAGATCCTAACCTCCCTCTGAATGCAGGAGGGGTGCCGGCATTCAGAGGCAAGGCTGTCCTCAAGGTCCAAAGACGATGCCATGGGAGGTTGTGGGTCGGTATCCCGCTGCTCCGATAGCTGCTTCAATGCGGCATCTCTGCGGGCTACCTGCAGGTATGCCGCCCTTCTGCCGGGGAGCAGATCACTGTGGCGCTCTATATGGATGGCGAGTCGTCTCCGAAAGAGACCACACCCCGGGACCGGGCATGTTCCCTTTCCAATCACAACCCTGCCAGTGCATATGGCGTTGAGTATGGTCCTCTCCCTTGCGTTTTTAATTCCATGAAACTCGCGGATGTGCTTGCTAACATGCTGTAGCACTTTGCGGCAGATGGGGCACTGGCCCGACTGTTTGGGCTTAGTCATCTAAATGAAAGGACAGAGGCACATAGTATTAGCAGTAGTAGAAGCAGGAGCAGTAGCAGTAGTAGTAGTAGTAGTAGTAGTAGTAGTAGTAGCAGTAGTAGCAGCCCAATTTAAAGATGGGCTACTGAAAAAGAGCCCATCTTGCAATTGTAACTTGGGCTACGTTTTCTAAAGAAAATGTTTAAAACAGATTCAAATGTAAAGAATATGATTACAATAGTGTGGAATTCGCTCTAGAATCACTGATAATGAAAATATTAAAAAAAATATACAGAAGAGCAGCACTGACAAACGTGTGGCATTGTTAATTGCATGGCTGGCATTTGCAGCCATGCAAATGCCAGTAGTTGTTATAACTCCTTAGTTTAGTCACCATTCTCTGCCTGTCGGCAGCTGCACACAGCATGCAAACAAGAGTGCTACACATGTGCATGACGTTGTTCAAGCATGCAACTTTAAAACTCTATTTGAATTCATGTACTTACTGTGTAATAGGCAGTTGTGTCTCTGTCTGCATCTCCAAAGTCTCTGACTGCTCTGCTGCACGCGCACACGGCAAAGGTGTGAAAACTTTTGCGTCAAATTAACCTAGAGGAGGCTGTGTCACAAGCCGCCATCTTGTGCATTTCCAATTTCGTTTTCAAACTATTTATATGTATTAACATCTCTGAAAGGTCTACATATGCATTGTCTGTTAAGAACATGGAGGCCAATAACAAATCGAAAGTCTTCATTTTGTTTTGATACCTTTATACAGCAGAAGTGTACTTTATCTTATCTTATCTTATCTTATACATACAAATGGCAGAAAAGCAGCCTCTCTAGCTTGTATGAGTTCATGTCTCTTCACGGTGTCGGGTTACAGCAGCTCACTTTGGTGTTGTAAGTCAGGCAACTCTGTATGGATTTTGGGGCTATTAGTAGTATTAACTTTTACTGCATTTTGAGAAACTTTGTATGGATTTTGGGGCTACTTTTAAGTAGCCCATTATTAGTATTATTAACTTGGGCTACTTTTACTGCATTTTGAGAAACTTTCTATGGAATTTGGGGCTACTTTTACTGCATTTTGAGAAACTTTGTATGGATTTTGGGGCTACTTTTAAGTAGCCCATTATTAGCAGTATTAACTCAGGCTACTTTTACTGCATATATATATACATTATATATATATATTTATATATATATATATATATATATATTTGTATATATATACATTATATATATATATATATATATATATATATATATATATATATATATATATATATATATATATATATATATATATATATATATATATATATATTAAGGTGTGGCTACTTTTAAGTAGCCCATTATTAGCAGTATTAACTCAGGCTACTTTTACTGCATTTTGAGAAACTTTGTATTCATTTTGGGGCTACTTTTAAGTAGCCCATTATTAGTAGTATTAACTTGGGCAACTTTTACTGCATTTTGAGAAAACTTTGTATTAGCCCATTATGCAGTATTATGGGCTACTTTTAAGTAGCCCATTATTAGTAGTATTAACTTGGGCAACTTTTACTGCATTTTGAGAAACTTTGTATTCATTTTGGGGCTACTTTTAAGTAGCCCATTATGCAGTATTAACTCAGGCTACTTTTACTGCATATATATATATATATATATATATATATACATTATATATATATATATATAATTATATATATATCATATATATATATAAATATATAACATTATATAATATATATCTGATACTGCTACTATCACTACTACTACTACTACTACTACTACTACTACTACTAGTCTACTGCTAATGCTAATGCTAACTTAATGGGTTTTTGGGTCTCCTGCCAACCCAAACCAGTGGTAGGAGTGGCACTGCTCTACCACTACTACTTTTTTTCACAACACTTTAGAGAGACGCCAGTCACACAGCGGTCTCTCTGACACCAGCTGGACACGCTCAATGAAGGGCAAGTTCTTATTCCCAAGTTTTGCGCAAAGTTGCTGCTAGAGCTCTACAATTTGGACAGGTCATAGCCTGTGTCGGTGCGATACTTGGGAAAATACTAATAACTTTGTATCTTTTTAAACGGCCTTACAATCGGTGAATGAATTTGGAATTTTGGCTGACCTTGCTGCAGCTCATATATGTGACTCGTCACATGAAGGGCTTTCCAACGATACCTCTATCATCGCTCTACGACCTCGTTTGGCCGAGTTATAACACTTAACGAGGGGAGCGGTTTCAAACGGTTGTCGCCCCCTAGCTCCGCGGTGGAACATGGCAGGGACAAAAGCCATACACCGTTGCGTTCGGCTGGCCAAGCCGGTTCCGTAGAGGTCTGATTTGTGCCTGTGCGACCTTCGGAACAGATTTTGGCCTTTGATTGCCTAGCTTTTTAGGGTAGGGTAAGGGTATACGGGTCTGAGACCATCTTTAGCTTCTGGTCCAAAAACGGTCACTTGGACTTCCGAAGGGGTTAGACGCCTGCATTTTGGATATGTGGTAGAGGGCCACGAGACGAGTCCAACGGTGTAGGGTAGACCTCCGGGGGCCTTACGGTTCTCGGTGGGCGGGCCTTCGTTCGGTAAAAAATCTCACGCTAATTAAGCTCGTCACGGCTTCAAATTTAATGGAAACGAGTCCAAATTCAGCACACGCCCATTTCAACCCCGTCCGACCGAGAATCTAAAGTTTCAACCCGCTCGGACACTCGGTTGGCTACTTTGCTTCCTATTGGTCGGTTTGAGTGGGCGCCTACATATTCGAGCTCAGAATAGCCTGCTGTGTAACATAGTCAAAAATGAGGCTGGTAGTCCAAAGTTGAAATGTTGGCTAACCTCCCCTTTAATGTTAGGCTTTTGAAGGCCCAAAAAGTGCTTGGAGGCTTGTAAAAAGTTCAAATTTCATCCAAACTAGTCGAAACTTGGTACGCACCCTTCTACATTCAAGCTGAACATTAATCCAAAGTTTCGACTGGCTCGGCCACCCGCTTTGTAAAAGAGGAGGGTCTCGGTGGCCAGGAAAATCCAGGAAAGTCCTGATTTAGGTTGGAGGACAGCGCCACCTTGCTGCAGCTCATATATGTGACTCGTCACATCTAGGGCTTTCCAAGGACACCTCCGTTATCGTTCTACGACCTCGTTTGGCCGAGTAATTAGACTTAACAAGGCGCGTTTTTTTAAAAAAACGTCGCCCCCTAGCGCCGCGGTTGAACATCGCAGGGTCAAAAGCTTTACACCGTTGCGTTCAGCTCGTTGAGCCGGTTCCGTAGAGGGGTCGTTTGTGCCTGTGCGACCTTCGGAACAGATTCTGACCACCTTTGAAAACCTAAGAAGGAATTTCTGTTTTTTTAGTAGTCTACTGCTAATGCTAATGCTAATAATGATGGTGATGCTAATGCTAATGTTAATGGTGATGCTAATGTTAATGGTGATGCTAATGCTAATGCTAAAGCTAATGCTAATAATGATGGTGATGCTAATGTTAATGGTGATGCTAATGTTAATGGTGATGCTAATGCTAAATGCTAATGCTAATGCTAATGCTAATGCTAATAATGATGGTGATGCTAATGGTGATGGTGATGCTAATGCTAATGCTAATGGTGATGCTAATGCTAATGCTAATGCTAATGCTAATGGTGATGCTAATGCTAATGCTAATGCTAATGCTAATGTTAACGCTAATGTTAATGGTGATGCTAATGCTAATGCTAATGCTAATGCTAATGCTAATGTTAACGCTAATGTTAATGGTGATGTCAATGGTGATGCCAATGTTAATGGTGATGCTAATGCTAATGCTAATGCTAATGCTAATGTTAATGTTAAAGCTAATGTTAATGATGCTAATGCTAATGCTAATGCTAATGCTAATGCTAATGCTAATGCTAATGCTAATGTTAAAGCTAATGTCAATGGTGATGCCAATGGTGATGCTAATGCTAATGCTAATGCTAATGCTAATGCTAATGCTAATGCTAATGCTAATGTTAAAGCTAATGTTAATGGTGATGCCAATGGTGATGCCAATGCTAATGCTAATGCTAATGCTAATGCTAATGCTAACTTAATGGGTTTTTGGGTCTCCTGCCAACCCAAACCAGTGGTAGGAGTGGCACTGCTCTACCACTACTACTTTTTTTCACAACACTTTAGAGAGACGCCAGTCACACAGCGGTCTCTCTGACACCAGCTGGACACGCTCAATGAAGGGCAAGTTCTTATTCCCAAGTTTTGCGCAAAGTTAGAGCTAGAGCTCTACAATTTGGACAGGTCATAGCCTGTGTCGGTGCGATACTTGGGAAAATACTAATAACTTTGTATCTTTTTAAACGGCCCTACAATCGGTGAATTAATTTTGAATTTTGGCTGACCTTGCTGCAGCTCATATATGTGACTCGTCACATGAAGGGCTTTCCAACGATACCTCTATCATCGCTCTACGACCTCGTTTGGCCGAGTTATAACACTTAACGAGGGGAGCGGTTTCAAACGGTTGTCGCCCCCTAGCTCCGCGGTGGAACATGGCAGGGACAAAAGCCGTACACCGTTGCGTTCGGCTGGCCAAGCCGGTTCCGTAGAGGTCTGATTTGTGCCTGTGCGACCTTCGGAACAGATTTTGGCCTTTGATTGCCTAGCTTTTTAGGGTAGGGTAAGGGTATACGGGTCTGAGACCATCTTTAGCTTCTGGTCCAAAAACGGTCACTTGGACTTCCGAAGGGGTTAGACGCCTGCATTTTGGATATGTGGTAGAGGGCCACGAGACGAGTCCAACGGTGTAGGGTAGACCTCCGGGGGCCTTACGGTTCTCGGTGGGCGGGCCTTCGTTCGGTAAAAAATCTCACGCTAATTAAGCTCGTCACGGCTTCAAATTTAATGGAAACGAGTCCAAATTCGGCACACGCCCATGTCAACCCCGTCCGACCGAGAATCTAAAGTTTCAACCTGCTCGGACACTCGGTTGGCTACTTTGCTTCCTATTGGTCGGTTTGAGTGGGCGCCTACATATTCGAGCTCAGAATAGCCTGCTGTGTAACATAGTCAAAAATGAGGCTGGTAGTCCAAAGTTGAAATGTTGGCTATTCTCCCCTTTAATGTTAGGCTTTTGAAGGCCCAAAAAGTGCTTGGAGGCTTGTAAAAAGTTCAAATTTCATCCAAACTAGTCGAAACTTGGTACGCACCCTTCTACATACAAGCTGAACATTAATCCAAAGTTTCGACTGGCTCGGCCACCCGCTTTGTAAAAGAGGAGGGTCTCGGTGGCCAGGAAAATCCAGGAAAGTCCTGATTTTTGGTTGGAGGACAGCGCCACCTTGCTGCAGCTCATATATGTGACTCGTCACATCTAGGGCTTTCCAAGGACACCTCCGTTATCGTTCTACGACCTCGTTTGGCCGAGTAATTAGACTTAACAAGGCGCGTTTTTAAAAAAAAACGTCGCCCCCTAGCGCCGCGGTTGAACATCGCAGGGTCAAAAGCTTTACACCGTTGCGTTCAGCTCGTCGAGCCGGTTCCGTAGAGGGGTCGTTTGTGCCTGTGCGACCTTCGGAACAGATTCTGACCACCTTTGAAAACCTAAGAAGGAATTTCTGTTTTTTTAGTAGTCTACTGCTAATGCTAATGCTAATAATGATGGTGATGCTAATGCTAATGTTAATGGTGATGCTAATGCTAATGCTAATGCTAATGCTAATGCTAATGCTAATAATGAAGGTGATGCTAATAATGATGGTGATGCTAATGCTAATGCTAATGGTGATGCTAATGCTAATGCTAATGCTAATGTTAACGCTAATGTTAATGGTGATGCTAATGCTAATGCTAATGCTAATGCTAATGTTAATGTTAAAGCTAATGTTAATGGTGATGTCAATGGTGATGCCAATGTTAATGGTGATGCTAATGCTAATGCTAATGCTAATGTTAATGTTAAAGCTAATGTTAATGGTGATGCTAATGCTAATGCTAATGCTAATGCTAATGCTAATGCTAATTAAAGCTAATGTCAATGGTGATGCCAATGGTGATGCTAATGCTAATGCTAATGCTAATGCTAATGCTAATGTTAATGCTAATGTTAATGGTGATGCTAATGCTAATGCTAATGCTAATGCTAATGCTAATGCTAATAATGAAGGTGATGCTAATAATGATGGTGATGCTAATGCTAATGCTAATGGTGATGCTAATGCTAATGCTAATGCTAATGCTAATGCTAATGTTAACGCTAATGTTAATGGTGATGCTAATGCTAATGCTAATGCTAATGTTAATGTTAAAGCTAATGTTAATGGTGATGTCAATGGTGATGCCAATGTTAATGGTGATGCTAATGCTAATGCTAATGCTAATGCTAATGTTAATGTTAAAGCTAATGTTAATGGTGATGCTAATGCTAATGCTAATGCTAATGCTAATGCTAATGTTAAAGCTAATGTCAATGGTGATGCCAATGGTGATGCTAATGCTAATGCTAATGCTAATGCTAATGCTAATGTTAAAGCTAATGTTAATGGTGATGCCAATGGTGATGCCAATGCTAATGCTAATGCTAATGCTAATGCTAATGCTAATGCTAATGCTAACTTAATGGGTTTTTGGGTCTCCTGCCAACCCAAACCAGTGGTAGGAGTGGCACTGCTCTACCACTACTACTTTTTTTCACAACACTTTAGAGAGACGCCACTCACACAGCGGTCTCTCTGACACCAGCTGGACACGCTCAATGAAGGGCAAGTTCTTATTCCCAAGTTTTGCGCAAAGTTGCTGCTAGAGCTCTACAATTTGGACAGGTCATAGCCTGTGTCGGTGCGATACTTGGGAAAATACTAATAACTTTGTATCTTTTTAAACGGCCCTACAATCGGTGAATTAATTTTGAATTTTGGCTGACCTTGCTGCAGCTCATATATGTGACTCGTCACATGAAGGGCTTTCCAACGATACCTCTATCATCGCTCTACGACAAGCTACCCTAAAGTGCCCCCCACAGCAGCAGCGGGGCGCCTCATTAGCACTAACAAACTAATTTCATGGAGGGCTACTCTAAAGTGCCCCCCACAGCAGCAGCGGGGCCCCTAATTAGCACTAACAAACTAATTTAATAGAGGGCTACCCTAAAGTGACCCCCACAGCAGCAGCGGGGCGCCTCATTAGCACTAACAAACTAATTTCATGGAGGGCTACTCTAAAGTGCCCCCCACAGCAGCAGCGGGGCCCCTAATTAGCACTAACAAACTCATTTCATGGAGGGCTACCCCTAAAGTGCCCCCCACAGCAACCCCTACCTAGCACTG